TTTTTTTTTTTTTTTTTTTTTTTTTTTTTTTTTTTTTTTTAAAAAAAAAAAAAAAAAAAAAAAAAAAAAAAAAAAAAAGATTTTTTTTTTTAAATCGTTTGTCGTTAATAGAAATAATAAAGATGTAAATAAAAAAAATTATTATTATTATTTATCACTGCATCAATAAATTAAATGTCCTTTTTATTAAATCTTGATTTGAGCACGGTGTCCTGATGAAAAGTGCTGTGTGTACACTTATGCGCAGTGCAGCATGTAATCCGGATTCGATTACTTGCTTCCATCTTAAAAATAAAAAGGGCACTGTACATATGATACCGTATTTCTCATAATTGACACGGTAAAGAAAAATTTGCATCACGCTTACAATTTGCATGGCACAGTACATCATACAGTATGCTAACAATGGTGGAATATTGAAATGGCAATTAAGTCTCTTTGATAATTAACTCCCATCGCCACCATTGTTCAATCTTTCAACGATGCCCGCTAATACTTTGCCGCACTCAGATTCAATTTTTACATCCGCCAGTGAATCGCCCCTCGTCTCACCCATGTTTAAAATCACCACCTTCTTACCCAATTCTTTGGCCGACCTGACCAACCTGTATGCCGAATAGGTGGCAAGAGTTGATCCAATGACCATTAGGAATTCACAATTTGTCACCATTTCAAGTGATTCGTGCTTGACCATTGGTCTAATGTTTTCACCAAAGAACACAACCGACGGCTTGTAAACACCGGCGAGACATTGAAAGCACGGTGGATACCGGAATGTCGTATACGAGGCATCGAGAGGTAAGTCAATGTCTCCGTCCGGGTTAACTCTAGGCGATAGCTTCTTCATGTCTGATCTCGACCCCTCCCCAAATGATCTCTCTTGATCTAATTCATAATCCCCATCAGGATTTACCTTTGACTCGGTGATATCAATATTGTCCAAGAATCTCTTCCATCCTGGGTTCAGTTCGCTCAAAATTTCCTGAAACTCGGATCTTGATTTAGTATGACCGCAATTCAAACATTGAATCTCGTGGAGGTTACCGTGTAACTCGAGTATGTTTGAGGTTCCGGCCAGCTGGTGTAATCCGTCCACATTCTGCGTGATCAGTCGATCGATATAACCATCGGATTCTAACTTTGATATGGCGAGGTGTGATGAATTCGGTTTGGCTCTCAGGATTGTGGGATATCCGAGGAACGATCGGGTCCAATATCGTTGTCGAAACTTGTGCGAAGACGTAAACTGCTCGGGCATCAAACCGTGACGATGTTTTTGAGTGAGTGAGTGACGAACGACGAGTGAAACGACGTGAATCAATTAATCAATCAACCAATCAATCAACCATTCACCTCGCGATAAAGGATTGGCCTATAGTTTTTGTTCAACACATAAGTTCCCTACATCAGAATTTTTGATTATTTAAATCTCTGCGGTACCATGTACCATCCCCGCGCGAAACTGTAGTAATGAAGAGGTTATTTTAGTTGCCTTTGGACCTCGATAATCCGGAATTCCAGAATTCGTGCTGACTCCTTTTTTTTTTTTTTAAAAAAAAAAAAGTACCACGAGCAACAGATTGTGTTAACGAGATTAATAAAAAGGTTGAAGGGTACATGCACACATCCAATCTCATATCGATAACTTTACCGGCACCAGTTAAAACCAACACCCTCCCACCACTCGCCTTAAAGTACTCTTCTACCAGATTAATGGACTCCCTTGTGTTTGATGTTTTTATTGCGGCGGACAATGAGAATGATGATTCGGTGAAAGTAGATTTGATCAATGCACTCGTCAGCTGGTTCAGATTTCGCATAATCGTGTTGCAGAGTAGAACGGCACGGTGCATCTTTTTATGTGCACGCTTGACACGTGATAAGGTCATCTGACCATAAATGTAGCACGGGCTGTTTACTTTTACCGCTATCGCCATTACTCCATTCATTTATCATGAGTAATGAAGTTAGACCCACTTTCCCCGTTTACATTGACCCCGTCAGAAAAATTCCAATACCTCACTATTTCCACCCTAAAGATTACAATAATAATCGTCTCCTCTACCCCAAGAATGAAGTTAACACGTCGAGCCACCTGGCAAGGGGGAAAAAAGCAAAATGGAACGATACGGACACAGGAATCTTTCTCGATTATCTGGAAGTGAATTGTGATCAGTGGTTGTTTTACAAAGTCGGGTTCTACAATTTCCTCCATCAAACCAGTCTCAAGAATAAAACCCCTAGTCAGATGCAAAGGCAGATATTCACCCTCCTTAGGAAGTATCGAAGATGCAAAGCCGGTGGAAAAGAAGGGTTCGAGTGGTACGAGAGGATGCACAAGATTTTCAAAGATCGCAAAGAGCCTCAATTTCAAGAGATCACTTCCGACACGGAAGATGATCAACCAAAACGCAAGGAAAAGAGGCGTAGGGAAGAAGAATCCGATGTTGATTCATCGCAGAGCGACGAGGAATCCACACAAAAGAACAAAAAAATTTCTAGTACCATGAGATGGTCCTGCGAAGAAATGTGCGTCTTGTTGGATTTCATCATTGAGAACATCGATGCGTTCGTTGAAAACTACAATTTATTCTGGTCGTGGATGTCTCACAATGTGCTTCTGGGGAGAACACCTGCACAGATAAGAAGGAGGTACTTCATTCTCAGTCCAACATGCAAGTATGGAATGAATTTGGAGAAGACGAAGGTGTCCGACGATCTGGTTGCAAAACGAGATCGTTGTTTCGACTTACTGAGAGAAAAGAATATCAGGAAGGATAAGAAGAAAGGAAAGAACAAATGCCTGAAACCCGTTACATTCAAGTTCCCGAAAGAGCACGAGGGGTACATGCCATCGGACAAAAAAATTCAAGAATTGATTGAGATGGATGCAACCAATACAAAAGCAGTCAAACCTCGGTACGTTGACGTTCGCCAAAATATTTCCGATATCCTGCACGCGAATCACCTGTTGAAATATAGTCTTGGCGAGGATGCTCAATTGTTGAGGTAAGAGGACTCCTACTGGCCATTCGATGTTTTACCTCTTCGCTGAATGTCGAATCTCAAATTTCCGTGTAGAAAATGTCTTGGAAATTCAGGCAAAACACGTTGGCCGGAAAGACTGCGAGACATTGAAATGTAGGTTCCATGGTTTCGTCGGAATTTCGGTGGGAACCGGCTAAAAATGTTCAATCTATTTCAACAGGTTAACTCGCAAGTATATTCCTAGCGAATGGGCGGGCGATCTTAATGAAGAAGAGCTTGATGTGATCGATAGCAATGGGTCAAATGTCACATCTGCATTATATTCCGAGGATGAAGACTGCGAATCTCAACGAACAATCGAAGGTGATCACCAACCGTCGTTAATAACCAATTCTAAGGAGAAAAGTGAGGCCATGATGAATCACGAGATTGGATTGATTGTGAATGTGGTGAACGAGCGAGGATTGGAAGATGGGAGCAATGAGAACATTATAGGCGAAGAGCAGAAACATCGAATAGCCGATTCGATCAAGTCTTCTCTAAGGCAGACATTAGATGCGGTCGGACTTTTGCGTCCCCCAAATGCCGAAATGTAAGTCAGGTTCATTGGTGCAATTTAATTTCGCCCCCGTTGACATTTCATCTATTTGGAATTGATTCCACGCTTGTTTACAGGGGTACCGGCGATTTTTCAAATTCGGACGCTGGGGTAATCAAGTGGGATACTATTTTGCGTGCAGCATCCTTGGCGAGATTGCCGCCCGGGTAAGTCATAGCACCTTTTTTTTTTTTTTTCTTACGTCAGTTTGTCCGCAACCTCTTAAATTTAATCTTTGTTTAAAGTGTGATTCGAAACACCTATAATCGTGTATCAAAATATTACGACGAGGAGAGGAAACTTGCCAGGAATAAATAATGTGGAATCATACTCAAAGTCTAGACAATGTATAATAAGTTTTCCGAGGGACGTCTGCAACCAGTATATCAAGGGTGTTCAACGATGTTTACACCGTCAATGGTATATTTGCTAAGTAGTTGAGCTAGAAAAACATCCGGAAAATATGTTACCAATGAATGACAAAAAGAATTAAATGAAATCAGCAAACAGACATGTGTCGCAAAAGGATGATTGCAGTTTGATGTGATTTTATTTGATTTTGTGAAAAATGTTACCCAACCAGTAGTATCCACAATGCAATGTCTATTATTAATTTTTCAGTTAATTACTTGTTACTTGTCTATTGTAATTATTTATTTTTATTTGATCTTATTTTCTCCATCCTCTTTTCTTTCTTGAAGCCAATGAACAATGAGATTATCCATTCCGCTAGTTAGAACTGTGTGCATCGGCGTTACCCTATCGTTGGATCTCATCATCGCAAGGTCTATCCGAAATTGATGGTTTTTGACGGGCGCAAAACAGACACGCGTGCTTCTGTTGACATGAGCCTCCCGGCGGGTTTCATGTGAAACAACATAATCACCCCTCAGAAATTGATTTCGTTCCGTCTTCGTTATAAACACAATCCCAACTTAGGTGCGTGTTCGGATGCAAGACACCCAGTTCGATATAGGCATTCATGATGTCAATATGTTCGGTCAACCAGCTGACCCCGTTTCTAAACAGCAGGGTTAACCCAGCGATATTTTTTTCATGGCAATGCTTGAGAAAATTCTTTAAGGCCGAGGAGATGCAGATGAAATCTTTGTCAAACACGAGACGTTCCAGACCCTTTGGTAGATTTTTTCCAATCTTTTGAATCGATTGACTGATGTCAAGGTTTGTCCAACCTCTGAATTCAAGACTTTTCAATTGTTGGCATGAGCTCAGAATGATCTGCAGGTGTTCAATGTTGCTGGCGAGTATGGTGAGCTCAAGACGTATTAGGTTCGGGCAAGAATTGGCTATTGTGTGAAAGAATGATTGCGCATTATCGGGATCAGATTCCATGCTCCACCAAACTATCCCGAGACTGGTTAGATTTCCATTAGTGTTCTTTATGATTTCCGACATCTCTTGATAACAGATTGTGAATGTTATATCGAGGGTCAGGTTCGTCAAGTCTTTAAAATACGCGGAATTGGTCAAGGGTAACAAAGTCTCCTCATTAATTTCTACGTATGGGGAATCCGCGTCATCGATAGCACGGAGATAGTGGAAGTCATAGATGTTTCCTCGGAAACCCTTGGCATAGGGATTCTTGATGTAGAAATCCTGTAGTTCATCGGCTTCTTGCCACATTCCAAATGCCTTGAGATTCTTGCCTTCAGAAAGAATGCTCAAGGGAATGGATCCGCCGCCGATTACATGAAATTCTGCGACATTCCTCATCTTTTTTTTTAGGGCGGACGTTATGTGTGGGATGGCCCATCTCGTTTGATAGATCGTTAATTGTGAGATCACGTCGACGTTGTTTATGAGAGTTGCCAATCCAATGTTGTCCTCGGATTTACAGTGAATCTCCATGAATCCGATGCTCGAAAATACTTTGCTTAATTCTTCGAATATTTCCGGTTCCCACCAGGTGAAACATTCCAGAGCCTCTATTCGAATTCCCGATGGGAGAATTTTCGATAGATCCTGAAGGAAAGTGAATGTGTCGTGTCTATAATGGGTTCCTATTTTACTTGAGCCCGGTATGAAATCCCTGTAGGCCTCAAATTCAATGAAATATTTGAGGCTCCCACATTGGGAATCGAAGAGAACACAAAGTTCTCGGAAGACGGCGATCCTCCTCTTTATTCTCACCTCGTGTGATGAAAGGTCTTCGTCTTCGTCGCTTTCGTCATCCTCGTCGCTTTCATCGTCTTCCGCTCCTCGATCTTCATCGGAGGTCTTCACGTATTCTTCATTGTTCTCGTCCGCCTCGCTATCATAACAATAATCACTGCCGTTCTCCATTTCAATATAGTCATAAAGTTGAAGCGTGCATAATAAAGACCATCGCTCCACCGCGTGGTATAGATTAATAAAATTCAACCTTTTCAAGAAGCTAGCATAATTGAACATCGGTTTCTGAAATCTCCTCGATCTCCTTAGCACAACTCTTGAATTCTTCTTCAACATCAATCTCGTCTCAGATGGCAGCAGACAATAATAAATTTGTACGATGTCTTGATATCTTATGATATTCCTAAAATTAAGAGGCTCCTGCCAAATCAAGTGAACCGCGTTTTTACACCAGTGTCGATTGACCAGTATGCAATTGAATAGGTCACGGAGATATCCTTTGTGGGTGTGGTCGTGGCTTATGTAATAGTCGTCAAAGCCGTCGCTTGATGGTTTATGCTCCTGATCGTTTGAAGGGTATAACACATAAAGGTTTTTAAAAACTTCTTGCAAAAGTTCGGGCGACAAACGTGAAACCATATTTTTTTTTCTCGTTAAAAGGAAGTTTCTTCGTCTTAGAAAGGTCTTTGTGGAAAAGAGAAAAACGACTCTTTTTTTTGTGATAAGTTGTGCGGCGGAGTACGAGGGAGGAGGTGCAAATCTTTGGTCGTTGGCACGTAGACGAAAAAACCGTGCGAAGTGATTTTTATAAACCCCAGTTTTACAGTATTTCCATAAAGAGTTCTAAGCATGACCTTGTCATATCACTGATATGTAATTTAAAAAAAAAATCATCACGTTTTAACCTACTTTATCGATGGCAAGGGTGTCCTGTACAAGACGAAACGAAATTCAACGCAACACAACCACCGCAACAAAAGTAGGCTCTCGAAGGATAGATATACTTTTCTCCTGAGATACAGCTCAGTATAAATATCAGTTGACAAAGATATAGATCATCACCATATATCGGTAATGTAAATTGTATATGAGTAGTGGTGCAAAATTTCTCGCGATATAAAATTAAAATTATCGCGCGACCTGCAATATAACCGCGCTGTATCACGTGACCATGTTGTATATTTTTTAAAGTCGCTAAATCGTTTTAATAAATCGATCCACTCGTCCCGGTTTGCGTTTAGTTGATTTGTTTTTCCTTGACCACTTGATATGTTCTTTTATTTCGTTGTTACGAAAAAAAGAGATGTGGTGCGGACCTGTTGTGTTTATTACGCGATCGGTACATTTTCACGGCTATGTTGTGCGTTAATTATAATCGATAAGGGTAAAAACAATCAATCATATTAAAATAAACAACAATTTCCTATAAATGCATATTCTATATTAAATTCCTTTAAATGCATGTTCGTAATAAATTATATACTGTAAATTCCTTTAAATGTACAAAAATTTTATTGCAAAAAATTGTGAACTCTCAAGAACAATTTGGATGTACGGTACAATAGGCAGATTGTACTATATAGTAGGGTTAATATAACTAATATGCTGTATGAAGCCTTCCCTACTAATTACTCAATCTGAATGTTGTGAAAATAAGTGTCAACCATCTGGCTATTGGATAAGTCTAACCATTCACATAGATGGCTTTAGGTTTATACAGTCAGATATGAGATAGGTTATTTTTTTTTTTTTTAGACTTTCACAAAGTGACTAACTCATCTTCATACAAAAGTACTCTAAGTCAGATTTTGGGGACAATATTATACTCCCCTAATAGATTGGTAATAACCTCTATCTACCAGGATCATTGCCAACAGTTTGTCACTATTGATTGTTCAAAAACCAATGAATTGTTAAGTTAAAAA